CAATTCACCTCCACCTCCACCTCCACCTCCATTAACTCCACCACCAGCAAGGCAAGCAACTCCAGTTTCTCTTAACGAAATAGTCATATCGAAGCAAACAGCAGTGCGGAGAACAGATCCTGCCACTGCAAAATCAGAAAAGCTCAGGCAGCTGCCACTCAGGCAACCCCAACCTAACCGGACAAATCCTCTTATATGGTGTGGTGCAGTGCTTTGTCTCATATTCAGCCTTGTTCTAATCTTTTTTGGAATTGCTACTTTGATTATCTTCCTTGGCATAAAACCCAGGAATCCTGTGTTTGATGCTCCCTCAGCAAGCCTCAACAGCATCTACTTTGACTCACCTGAGTATTTTAATGGGGACTTCACCTTCCTGGCAAATTTTTCCAACCCAAACAGGAAAATTGATGTGAGGTTCGAGTATCTGGATATGGAGCTCTACTTTTTGGACAGACTCATAGGTACTCAAGCTGTTCAACCTTTCTCTCAAAGAAGAGGAGAAACCAGGTTGGAATCACTACACTTCATATCAAGTTTGGTCTATTTACCACAAAATCTTTCCATGGAACTTCGGAAGCAGGTGCTAAACAACAGGATTAGGTACAACATAAGGGGTACCTTTAAAGTAAGAGCCAGTCTGGGTATGATCCATTTTTCTTACTGGCTGCATGGGAGATGCCAGTTAGAGATGACTGGTCCACCAACAGGTGTTCTAGTTGCTCATAGCTGCAAAACAAGGAGATGAAGATGCAAAGGATATTCTCTCAGCTGCTTCAACAACTTAGCCTCCTCCGACTCAATTGAGATCAGTTTTTGATGTACACAACATTCTGATTTCTTTTTGTAATATGGTTCCACAGTGTTCTAAGATGCTCTTTTTCCTTTTCTTTCCCTCATTTTCTTTTCTCTTTAACCGATAAAGCCATTAATCTTAGAAACTCTTGACCAACTTTCTAACTCTACGAACATGGGGTTATAAGAAAAGGGTGGAATCAAAAAAAAAATCAAACAGGTTTTAAATCAATCTAAATATTAAGCCTTTTCTTTCTTTTGCATAAACATGGAAAAAACAGAGGGCTCTTTAAGACCCTGATGAATCCTTATAATTTCAACAATAGCATCAATTGGAAAACAAGCAGAGAAAGCAGCAGAATAATTGACAGAAAGGGAACGTTAAAGAGAGAATATTTCATTTTACACTATACATACTTCGCTCAAGCTGAATTTTTGCTTACCTATGGAGGCTATGAATGAGCTGCAAGAAATAATTTACCTGCTCACATGGAGATTTTTTTTACAGAAGTAACCTGATGCCTTGCTGCATATTCACAGTACATAAGCACGCGTGAATTTGATAAAAAAGAAATTTAAGTTCAAGTAGCAGAGGATATCTTCTAGCAGGTTATATTTTGAATATAAGATATTAAGTTCATAAATTATAAGTTTACAGAGCAGTACATGACTATCTCATCAATCAATGAAGTACATAAAGATAAAATTAGGAGAGCACGTTAAGTGACAAATCACTTGACCTTTTGTTCTTTATTTATAGAGGACAAATCACTGACTTCACCAGAAGCCAAATAACTAATAAATTGTAAAGTATTTGTTGTATTCTGCTGCAAAAATGTGTTCGAATTTACCATCTACACCATATGCAATCTTTAATGGAGAAACATTCAGTAACTTTATAAATGAAAAATACAGTTTGCAACAAATTCTCCATCCTCAAGATTCTGGTACCATCTTGCAGAGGATCCTCTAATTTTTCAATGAAGAACAGGAAAAATGATCGAGGAATACCACCTATTCCGTAAAGAACTTCAACACTTGAAAAAGTAGAGACTTTTATAAACATTTTATCCCATGAATATAATATACTTCAGCCAATTATAACTTACCTATCCATTACCTTAGAAGAAATTATGATGAACCTAACATTAAATTACCAACAGTAGATCCAAGCAGAAAGCCACCTTTAGTATTTCCCTAGTAGGGCACATGAGGCTACATTTTGTCCGAATTTGGAGAATAATGATCATTACCTTCAAATCTACCTTAACTATCTCAAACAAAATTGGAAGTAATTAAAAGATAAAGCTTGTTGCACATAAAAACTAGGTTTTCCAGTGCATGTCAACTTTCATTCTTTTCCAATATCAACCTTCTTCCATTAAATTTTACTCCTTAAAAAAAATTCTATCGCATTTTGACCCTTTGTATGTACTCCATATGGTTTAAACATTATTTCGAGGTACATGAAACTAATTTAGTTAGCATGCCACTTCTTATCAACCTCCAAGCTATTTCCAATTATCTGAGACACCACTAACAAAAGATTGAGCAGACCATCCTGACCTTGAAATACACTAGCAACTCACCTAGAGCTTTGTTAAGAAATAACTAGATAATTTCCTCTTCCACCTTATAATCCACAAGCAGTTCTGAAACGCTAGGAAAGAGTTTCTTAGACTGGATGAGAGATAGATTCCCATTACTGAACATAATAGTTACACAACCTATCTACCCTTCCTATAGAATAAATCCAATACCATTCTTTAGACAAAGACATGGAAATTTTAAGCCGTAGCAAAAAAAAAAAGATGCAAATGAATTTTACAATAAAAAATATTCACATATGAGATTAATTTAATTATATGTATCGAGAGATTTGCAACCCATTTATCTTACGATAATCGAAGACACGTTTGTTCAAAGTTTAAGACTTTTCCAAACAATTGGAAACTCCTTTACAAATCTAATACATAAAATTTCGTTATAATTTCATCCCAATTGAATAAAAGAAAAGATAGATATAGCAAAAAGCAAAACTAATTTTTTTCATCTTGCACCGACCTCAGATGGTGTCTTTGCCACAATGGACAATGCGTGCAGTCCTGTCTGCAACTCATCTTGCAACAGATCATATATTAACCTGTGCCTCTTTACTAAACTCTTCCCTTCAAATGCCTCAGAGACAACTCTCACATTGAAATGAGTCTCTCCATCACTGCCTCTCACACCAGCATGACCAGCGTGTTGATACGATACATCATCCACCTGCAACTCAACAGGACTGAGCTCCTTCTCCAACTTCTCTCTAATCCTCGTCCCTCTACTCCCTAAGCCACCTGAGTTCGACCCATCCGCGTTCCCTCCCGAATTCGAACCTGTAACTCGGTTTTCACTCTCTGAACTTGTCACGGTACTTTTCGTTCAACCCACCACTCGAATTCCCCAAGCTACCATCTTCTCTCGCCGCGGAATTTGATCTAGCAAAGGAACCTTCACCCTTCTCGGCTTCCATTGACAACTCAAGAGCCTTTTTCTGCATCAGCCTTAACATGTTCAAGAATCCATTGTTCCTCGAGGGCGTCAAGCTCTGTTGCAACCCGAGGAGCACCACGAAATCCGGCGAGATCCGCAAAACTTCCGGGACGGACCTTCCAGATAGTCCTTGAACAAGCAAAGCAGCGAGACCCTTGGTAAGAACCGAGTCGGAATCGGCCTCGTAGAAAACATTTTTGTCTTTATCGAGATAAGCCCTAACCCAGACCTGTGATACGCAGCCCTCAACCTTGTTTTCCCTAGTTTTGAACTGCGTATCGAGTGGCTTCAAATTCTTCCCGTAGAACATGAGTTGCTCGTACTTGGCCTTCGGTTCTTCAACGGATTGAAAGAGTTTGACGATTTCCTGGAGCCTTGGAGGTAGCTCTTCAATGGGTTGCAGGTCCATGGAGCTCGATGCTGACGCAGAGACTGCTAATGTCGATGGGTTTCTGGTTGGGATCTTCTGGAAGGAGATCGGTCTGTAAATGGCCAGATTCGTTAGCTGCTTCGCTGGTCCAATTAGCGATTGTTTTTGGATGAGAGAGATGGGGATCTTGGCTGCAAATAATCGAAGCGAAGAAGAACAACAAGACATGGCCTCGATCTTGGAGCAGAGGACTCGAGAAAGAAGATGCTTTTTGACGGTGAAGATGAAAAAGTAGGGACTCCCTTTTCCTTTCCGAGCCAACGCACCGTTTTTGTGTTTTTAATTTTATTTTGTTAGTATATTAATATTCTGTTTATATAAATTTTGTAGTAAATAATTAATATATAATAATATTATTATTATATTATATTTTAAAAAATTATATATTAATATATTATAATGATGACTATTTTATTTATTTTAATAAAATGATATAAAAATACATATATTTATTTTTATGATTTATAATAACCCAATAAATAAAATTTAGAATTCAATTAACCATGATTTATTTTCTTCCTAAACTATCCAAAACAATTCAATGAACCTTTTTATATTATTGTTTGTATTCCTCAAATTCTTGTTGGGTCAAAACTCAATGACCAAATATTCCTATTGTAAGCCCAAAAATAATCCAAATATTTTAAGATTTTTTGGGCCAACCCATCAAATAAATCACAAATTAACACCCTAATTTATAGCATAATTATCAAAAGTCAAATGTAAATAGAATTTTCTTTCCTCACCAAAAAAGAAAATATAATATTTTTTAAAAAAAAGTAGTGCTTGAATAAGAGGGCTCGAGGAGTAATATCGTAGTAATCAAAATAGGAAAAGTAGTTGATGCCCTTCCGAACAAGATAAGTATATGAGGTTAAAAGATAATAAATTTCGAACGTTAATCTATCAGCGTAATAATTACTCTATCTAAATAAATAAATAATTAAAATATTTTAAATTACGATTTAAGAATTATATATATATATACACTTTTGTATCAATTGTAACGCAATAAATTCTCCTAAATT